GTGGCCCCCCCCCCTGCCACTCCCATTGTTTAGGGTCATGTTGATGTCCTTCAAGCTGTGGTCAATCACCCATCCAAGGTCATTCAAGTCCATCATATGCAGGTTACCCAAGCTAATATTTCCACTCAAGCATTGGAACATAGCATGGGTGACCTCCTTCTCACGGTTGTCCTTCCGCTGTTTCTTGATTTGATCACAAGATTTGGTGATCCTTTGTCTCAAGAAACTCTCTTGATTCACCATTTTCTTACCTTGCTCGATTTCTGGCATGCTTTTGAACTTAGTCACCACTCTTTGGACCCCTAGAGGAGAGGGCCAAACCTCAGGTTGAGAGTCATAAGGGCTATAAACGATAGCACAAGCATCAACACCACAAAGGGTGCTTAACTCGCTCACCTTCTTCATTAGGCCCTTCTTCCTTTTCTTGAAGGTGGCTTTCCTTGCAGAATCATTACAGATATATGCAAGCTTCACCTTCTTTCTAGTCATGGCTAGGTTGGGGGGCAAGATTCTTGGTTTGGGTATATCTTTCCTCAAACACTACCCTCTATATATAGGTTGGAGAGAGGCTCATGCGTAACCCCACAGCAAGATTACGGTGCATTTTCTCAATTCCTTCGCTGGACATTTTGATTTATTTGGCAAGTGCTGTCAAGCTTGCATACCCATATTGGCATTAAGAATATATTTTTAGATACACAAATAATTTAAAAAATCTGAGGCATGGTAGAGAGTTGGTAGGAGTGTACGTATCATGGGCAATGCCTTATCTGTGATTAATGGGTAAAATCTATGAATTATGCTGTTTTCTTTTTTATTTGCTTATCTGTTTCCTTATTCAGACATTTAAGTGTTGTAAAAGCCGTGTGCTATTTTTACTAATTATGGTTGCATATTCTTGTATTGTAGCCCCGGTGATATAAGTCCTAATGTATATCCAAGGTTCATCATCTTACAATTATAATTAATTAATATTTATGGGTAAATAACCATAATCTTACAAGTGATTATTTTATGCATGTAGTTTTTTTTTTTTTTTGTTTTTTCTCCATAATACTATAAATATATTGGGTATTTGATTTAAATCAACCCATCAATCCTACTGAGAAATGGGCACGCACAGCCATCATTTAATATGCCAATACATCCCATGAAAAGATAAGATTTACTCTATACCAATAAAAGGAAATCAAGTAAATTCTAGATATTGCTTTGCATGGTGATGATGTATATGACCAAAAAAAGGGTATTCAGTATACCACAGATAAGCACAAAGTTTATCCTTCTATCTGTTATCCGAATACTGTTCCCCTATCCTTGCATAAGCAATATATAGATTGACAAGATTATTAATTAATTATTCCAATGTATATTAATATATACGTGTTAGGTTCTCGTTTGGCATTTAAATTCAAGCTAATATACTCGAAAGCACCTTCAATGTATATATATATAAAAAAAAAACTTTATGAAAAGCTGTTTATTTATTCATTATTTTTTAAAATATAAACTCACTTTAAATTCTTTTACACAATCATCAAATTTAATTATAGTAATTTTTTTAAATATATTATAATAAAATACTGACAATATTAACGAAATTCTTAATCAAGCCTAATTAAAAAGTGTTCCTGCAAAAGAAAAATCTAGACTCTAGTGTGATATAATTTTAATTTCAAAAAAATATTTTTGCTATGTTTTTTTTTTAGATTTCATTATTATGATTCCATATAAATATTTGTAAGTATGATGTAGTGGAATAGATTTCTTGTTCAAATATCATTATTTATGGATATCATATAAGTGTTTGTAACTTTGATAGATAAAGAGAATAGAATTTTAAATAATTATATGAGATAATTTTCATTTAATATATCCGTTGTACAATTTACATGTTTTTTTAGATTTTTTATTTATGAATTCTATTTAAGAGTTTATAAATCCGATATAATAGAATTATTTTTGTTTATTTATGGATCTTATTTAAGTTTTAGTAAGTTTGATATATCAGAAGATGAATATTTTAATGAGCGGTTTGAGATAACTATAAATTAATATGTGTTTTTGTTCATATTCATTAATTAGTAGCTCTTTGACTTGGGTTGTGTTCTCGTTCTCGATCAAATCTTTTTTTTCTAAGTGTAATAAATATAAAGATGCTAAGAAACCTAAAATATGATGCATACTAGATGATACATTTTTCAAATACTAAGATTATAACATGTAGGATGATATTAAAAGAAAATTAAGATGATAATATATTGGATTGATTTAGACCAATCCGCAACTCAAGTTATAAAATCATGATAACATTATAAAACAT